CTGTTTGTACATATGAAGCACCCACTCAGGGAAAGAACCAAACACAGTCTCCCTAGCAGGGAAGCTGTACTTTCCAGAGGACAAAAGGACACCTTCCTGGTGGCTTGTGGGTTCAGCCGGTACTTTTTTGCAAGTGTCCCGGGTTGGGGGAGGGAGAAAAGGAGACCAGGGGAATTGTGGGAATTTACTAGCCTTCCCTTGCAGAGCTTCTTGGTCATAGTCTATGGTTTTCTATCTTCCAGGGTGCGCTTTGGCCTCAAATTACGTGTTTTTCCCAATTTGTGCCCGTGTTACTGGTTTAATATGACCTTTGAGGATAAGCTCCAAACACTAACTTGCTGGTGGAGAATAAAACCAGGATTACAGATCATCTGATTTGCTTCAGCTGGTTTCCCTCAGGAATATTCTGGAATTTAAAGAAGTCGCTTCCCCACTTAGCAACACGCTCTTTCGAAATTTAATTTCAACCGTGATTTTTATCTGAAGCTTGCATTTACAGGAGGAGGGATTTACTTCTTTAGCCGTGGGAGGGGAATAGCAAACAGTTTGCCTGTACAAATTCCCTTCCTTGAGATGTTAAGCGGACTTTGAGTCATCTAGTGCCCAGATCCAAATCCTTGCTCAGAGATGTTGGTTTTTTTTTAAGGTTAGCTCACTGACATTTTTATCTGTTAGTGCCCTCTGCTGGACTTCCTCACAAGTTCTTCTGGACTTGGAGCTCGGAGCCCAGATTGGGCACCGAAGGGCCACTGGAGTCTTCTCTAAAAACAGAGATTTGGGGATGTGGCCTTTGACCTTCTGGCTTTCTGTATCCCTGAACACCCTGCTCTGGTGGTTGTCTTTTGTTCGTGACATCAGAAGACTGTGGATTCCTTTAGGGAATAGGAATGAGCTGTCCGGGTTCCAGGTGGCCTGCATCCTTTGCAAAGGCTCATTTAAGAGAAGAATGGAACGAGTTGATGTGAGAGGGTGAGCCAGCATCTGAATCTCGGGAAGTTCTGCCCCACAACATTATTCCCTGGGGATTGAGTGGAGGAGGGATTTGGTGTCCATCTCACTTCTTTAATACTGTTAGAAAACCAGTTGCAAACATGGGAGGAGGGAGGGCCAGGTCCCTCCTTGGAGCTGTAAGGGAGGAGGGATCCTGTGTACCCTAGGGATCCTGGGCCACATGGATTTATGTGCAGTCTCTCTTGTTCAGCATTCACCTTTTCTGACACGTTCCTCCCAGGCCCGCAGCAGAAGTGTCGGCCACCCGCACCTCATCCATCCTTCTAGGGTTGCCGCACCACAGCGCACAGTGAAAACTTGTGCATCCTTTATGTCCCGGTCTCCTAGCACAGTGCCTGGTATAAGCAAAGTGTTTGGTAAATGGAGCTAAACTAGAATGTCTTTTCCTCCAGTTCTTTTGGTCCTGAGTCTATCTGAATTTCAGGTGTCAGCGCTAAAACCCTTATTTATTCACGAGAGACACACAGAGAGAGGCAGAGACATAGGCAGAGGGAGAAGCAGGCTTATGCGGGACTCCATCCCAGGACCCTGGGATCATGCCCTGAGCCAAAGGCAGACACTCAACCACTGAGCCACCCAGGCGCCACCGCTAAAACCCTTGCTGTGGAAATAATTCCTTCTCGTTCCTTTTTTTTTTTTTTACTAGCCCAGGTGCATGTTATGTCCCAGGAGCATTTAGTATTTACTTCTCAAAGTTATGTTTCTCTACTTTTCAATGTATTTATATTGACTCTTACTTTCCAGATCATAAACACGTTGAGAGCAGGATTCTAACACCTGATTCTCAGCTTTATGGTCCATGAGTCCCAGAACAATGCCTTACACATAATAACCACAGCAGTTATATATAGCAGCTCACATACACCAGGCCCTGCTCTCCGTACTTCACATGTGTTCTTTCTTTAACATCCTCTAATATTTGCAACAGTTTTATAAGGTAAGAACTGTCACTGACATGTATCTCCCCCATTTTGTAGGTAAGGAAAATGACGCTCAATCATTTGCTCAGGGTCATGTAACTAGGAAGTGGAGGAGCTTGGATTCAACCCCAGGCAGCATGTTTGAGAGTCTAGGCTTCATCGTTGCTTCGATGCTTCCTCTTGTTGGCATGTGTACGCATGGAAGGCGTCATATAAATATCTGTTCAGTGCATGCAGGTTGATGTTTCTTGGTTATTTAGAGCCAATAAACAGTTTGAAGGTGATCCATTGTCGCTTTCATCTCCACCATCTGCACTGCTTCCTGAGCAATGGGAAGGCCAAAAGGGGGCACCAGAGGTTGGTTCTATTTTGGTGTCAGACCTGCTGAATGGCTTAGGTTCTGGTTTGGAAGTCAGCATTGCCATCTAGTGGGGCAGCCTGCTAATAGCAGCTCAGGATTATTTTTCTGAAACCCTGGTATGTTGTCCTTTAATTCTGGGAATCCCTTTATTAGCTTAACTTTAAGTTTTGACTGCCAGAGAGAGGGTAGGGTGAGAAGGAAGAACCAGATTCAGTGTGGTCAGCCCTGGTCTCTTCTTGGAAGAGACTGTGATGCTGATCATAGTCATTTGGGTTGGTTGAGTCTCATTGGCTGTTAGTGTGAAACACTAGGCTGCAGGCTCCTTCCCTTCTACTTTGGCTCACATGTGCTGCCCATGGTATAGACCAGTGTTCCAGTCTTTTCTTTTTAAGTTTTTATTTATTTATTCATGAGAGACCCAGAGAGAGAGGAGAGAGGCAGAGGGAGAAGCAGGCTCCATGCAAGGAGCCCGATGTGGGACTTGATCCCGGGTCTCCAGGATCACACCCTGAGCTGAAGACAGATGCTCAACCACTGAGCCACCCAGGCGTCCCTAGTGTTCTTCTCTTAATGCTTGCCCTGTCTGCTCTAGAATTTGAGTTCCAATCAATCCAAACAGTACTCCAGTTGCCTACTGTAGTACAACATGTGTCCCAGGTCATAAAGTAGACAGTTTCTGATGCATTGTAACAAGTTAGTCCCAGGGTAAGAAACCCACAGGTCAACAACATGATAGTTTTGTGATATGGAGTTTTTATTTTATTTTATTTTATTTGAGAGAGAGAGAATGAGGGAGAGTGTGAGAAAGAGAGCACGTGCGTGCATGAGCAGGGGGAGGGGCAGAGGGAGAGGGAGAAGCAGACTCTCTGTTGAGCAGGGAGTCTGATTTGAGGCTCGACAGGGACTCTAGGATCATGACCTGAGCCAGAGGGAGGTGCTTCATCAACTGAGCCACCCAGGAGCCCCTGATAAGGAGTTTTTAATAGACAAGTCTCTGAGACCTTGCAAAGGGTATGATATGATGAGTAGCCCCTCCACAGTGAACAAGTATCAAAAGTGCTATGAGTAGAGTAAATGAAGGAGGTAGACCTGTGTACACACTTTAGTTCTGACAGGCGATTGGAGGCTCTTCTGATTTCTTGTGTATATATGCGTTTGAAAATTTGATACACATTGCTTCTAAGTTTGATAACTTCTTGCAGAAAGAACAGAACGCAAGAGCATGGTTATACCTGTGACCACAGCAAATCAGGTACTGCTTTGATTGAGAGTGTAGAGGCACCAGAGCAAGCTTTGTTCAGAGTTTCAGTCTACGAGGGATCTGGTCTAAGGAATATACTCTGGCGAAATTTGAATTTTTTTATGTTGAACAATCCCTCAGGACAAGGAAACAATTGAGTTATCCTGGAGCCTCAGTTATGGTGACATTTATGGAAATAGGAATTTGCTATTAATGGGATCTGTGCAAAGCTGGGATAAGGGGTGAGATAAATATTTTTAGGCTTTGTGGGTCTAATGATCTCATTACTGGCTTATTCAGCTCTGCCTTAACTATTCAGTCTGCCATTGTAGCAAAACAGCAGCCAGAGCTAATACGTAAATGAGTAGTTGTGGCCACATTCCAATAAAACTTAATTCATGACTCTGAAGTTTGAATTTCATTTGATTCTTCTATGTCATGAGATGTTATTCTTTTTAAATATATATATTTATATTTATTTATTTATTCAGAGAGAGAGATAAAAGAGGCAGGGACACAGGCAGAGGGAGAAGCAGGCTCCATGCGGGGAGCCCGATGTGGGACTTGATCCTGGACCCAGGATCACACCCTGAGCTGAAGGAAGATGCTCAACCGCTGAGCCACCCAGGCGTCCAGAGGTGTTAATCTTGTTTTGACTTTTCCCTCAACCATTTAAAAAAAAAAGCAACCACCACTCTCAAAGAGTTGTAAGAGAGAAAGCCCACAGGCAGCTTCAGATTTGGCCTGGGGGCTATAGTTGGTTGACTTACAGATCCGATGCTTGGATTCCTTAATAACAATAAGAATTATATGTTCATATGTTCAGTTAGTGCCATTAAGATGTTTGAACAGCTTCTCTGAAGTAAGATGAAAGATGGGTGGATTCCACATAACTTCAGTGTAAGCATTTTAAAGAGCTCTCGGCTAAAGCCCTAGAATCATCTTGCCTACATGGCGTCACGGGGAGGGACTCTTCCCTTGTTCCCAGGAAGCAGAGAGGCAGGCCTGGTGACCCCGGCCCCCATGGAGTCTTTCTCCCTACTAGAAATCTCCCCTCTCTCCTGGTAGTGGAAGGGGGGGGGCGGGTGGGGGCATGAGGTGACTGAGTACCTGCATCTAGAGAGTCTCCAATGAGGTTGAAGAAGAATGGCATTGTTACCCTGCCATGCCGATTAAGAGGCCCAAGTCTAGAAAGTGCTGGAAGCATTTGCTCTCTGAGACTACATAGCCAAGGAAGAGTAAGGTAACAAGTCAGGATCTGCCCCAGATGTGGTGGGCGGGGATTGCACCAAATTTGTGTCCTTTCTCATCCCAGTTGCCTGCCTGTACGCTCTGTATCAGCTTACATGGGGAACTTGTGTCTCTTAGATTTTGTAAGCCCCGTTTCTTTGTCAAGCTCTGGAGTCTAGACGGCCTCCCCCAGGGTTGAGAAAGAAATTAACGGTTCATATCCTGTGTCTTTCTTCAGCAGCCAACAGAGTAGCCAGCAGAGCAGCCATGACGATGATTCAAGCAGGTTCCTGAGTCCTCGAGCCCGGGAAGAAAGGTAAGACTCCCCGAGGAGGGAGGGGATGGGGTGAAGTGTTTGAGTACGATCATCCCACTAGCGCTGTGGAGAACTGTGGCCGGGGGGGTGGGGAGGGGGGCACACAGGAGGCTGCTGAACCTCTCTGCTCAGACCCGCCAGGAAGATAGGATGTTCACCCAGGGAGTGAGCAGGTGCAGTGCCAAGGGGCTGCTTCCCAAGGCTGTTGGTGATCAGCAAGGAGCAAAGGCGGCCGGTGGCAAATCGGAGATGCTGGGGAGACCTCAGGGTGGACTCGGCTCGAGGCCCTCTTTAGCGGCTGGGTGTGCTGTGGCTGGGTCCTGAGGACAGCTGCAGGGCCTGGCACCGCATGTGTGGCATCGGATGCCAAGAGAGCACTGAGATTGGAGTGGACCGTGCTATCAGAGGTGAACGAGTGTGGGTAGGCAGGGGGCAGTGAGCGTGGAGAGGCCCCTGCGTGCTCCCCGGAGGACTTGAGGGCTGACTAGCTAAACGCTCAGGGTGTGAGGACCACTGGCCTCTGCTGCACGGAGCGCCCTGCATGGCAGGCACAGGGGTCTGCTGTCGCAAGCGAAGCTCGGGTGCCCGAGAAAGTTGACTGATGTGAACTAAAAAGAGGTCTGGGTTGGCATGCCATGGGGCTCTGCTTTTGGTCTAGTTCTGTTTACCAGTTTTCGTCAACAAACCGGTTGAGAAAGGAGAAGGTACTTTTACATCATTTATCAAACTGACGGCAGACACTCAGCTGAGAAGGAATAGACAAGATCGAGGATGATACGCTCAAGGTTTGGTATTTCAGATGGAACAGTGGGCACAGATACAGTATTTCTTTTTAACGTGCTATTTTATTTATGTTCTGTATATTAGAAGAGTTTCTCAAATGTAGGATTACTGCAGGGAGCCTCCCTTGGCAGGACTTCGTGTGAAAAAGAACTTGGGTTTATTTACCAGCAAAATATGAGTCAATGATATGACAAAGGGACCAAATGATCTCTGAAAGTGTGAGTTCGTTCATTAAACAGAAAAAGATCTCACTGGTTGGTACTACTTCAACCCTATCTGGTGTATCCTGTCCAGTTCTTTGGAAAGAGGTATCAATACATGAAGAGTCCACAAAGAATCGTCGAGATGATAATGTATTATTATAAGGATGGTTGAAGGAAAAGTGGCTTAGCCTGGGAAAGAGAAGGTTTGTGGTGACTATAACGCGACTAGTGAAATATCTTATCTGAAAGCCTAAGAAACAGCCAGAGGCAGAGAGGTCATAGCGAGAAGGATTTCAGCTCAGGATAAGGAAGAAAGTCTGTGATTACAGCAGGACTTCAGTGGAATAGGCCTCGCAAAGTACTGAACCGTCTTCTCCACGGAAACCTTCCAGCAAAAGCTAGGTGGTATGTCACGAGTGGATTCCCTCCTGGGCAAGGGGGGGGATGGGGCTCGGGAATCCTTGTACATTATCTCTTCACATTATGAAGTTGTGTAGTAATGCCCTGGTTCTCCAGTATCAGTTCAGCTCATCAATTCCAACAGAGCAGATAGGAGGCAAGGGGCCCCCAGGGGACAAAGACTAATCATTCTTGTCAAGATGCTTAATCAGTTATGATCTGATGGCAGTTCCCTTTGTCTCTAGTGGCCTACACTCTCTTTTCAGTGCTTTCTGGAATTCATTAACCCTACTCTCGAAATTAGAAGGGGCCACGGAGTTCCCTTGGCACAATTCCCTTCCCTGTGCTTGGGCGTCATACCTCTCCTGGAGTGTCCTGTCCATTTCTGGTCATGATGTCTGTAGTTGGTCTTCATCTATCAGCTCTCTGACTAGCAGCTCCTCAACTCCCTTTTTTTTTTTTAAAAAAAAAAAGGATTTTATTTTATTTGACAGAGCAAGTGAGCACAAGCAGGGGGAGTAGCAGAGGGAGAGGGAGAAGCAGGTTCCCTACTGAGCAGGGAGCTGCAATCTGGGGCTGGATCCGAGGATCCCAGGATCGTGACCTGAGCTGAAGGCAGACACTTAAACCAACTGAGCCACCCAGGTGCCCCTCCTCAACTCCGATTATGTCAGCTGCTCGGGGTGTTCCTAGGAGGGAAGAATAGGTGATGAACTGCAGACTCTTCTTCCCAAGGCAGCTCCATCTCTTACTCTAGGATGTGACTGCTTGTAAACTAGAGGAAGCCCTGCCTCCTGTCCGCTCTTTGGGATTGTATACGGACATACGTTCTATTCCAGCTCCTTCTCTGCCCACTTCCTCAACCAAATGAAATGTTACAAAGGGTTTCCAGTCCAAACCTCTGCCCAGAAAAGTCCTCTAGATGTCTTCCCTTGTCCTTCCCATCCCTGGCCCCCTGACAACCCCCTGATAAACTCTTCAGGGTGGACAGCGGATATAATTTTGCATCAGCTCATCCTGGGCAGTATGGGAAACACAGCTCTGATCAGAAGTATGCTTCCTATGGTGGTCCCTGTGGATCCCTCGCCTCAGAAACTCAGGTCTGATATGTGTTCACCATGGCCATTCGGAATGAAGTCTTGTTTCTCTTCCCATCCAGTTGGTTGTCCTAGAGAGAACAAGTCCCCAGAGTGCTAATTAATCACCAGCCTCGGTTCAGAACAAACCCTAACACTCTGCCCCTAATCCTTCCTCTAATATGTTTTTACCCAATTAAGAGACTCTCTGGGGTGTTTTGGATATTGGTCTGTGTTATCCTGACCTGGGGCAAGCGTGAATCCAGACCCTGGGGAGATTGTCAGCAGTGGTGGGGGGCCGGCTCCTGCTTCTTGCTCTGGGGCCCCCATTTAATGGACAACGCACCCTGCTGGTTATGGCGGCATTTCCTACCCAGGGGAGGCTTTTGTGTGATCTCATTTAGTCTACTCCCCTGGGAGGCCACAGAGCAGGTATTATGGATTGACAGTGGTCAAGGAGGAGGTGGGTAATATGGACCCTCTTCTTGGCTGCTCCTAATCCTCCAAACCACGTGGTCAATTATAGGATGAAGGCTAGTTTCACAGAGCAGGTAAAAAGGAAAAAAAACAAAAACAAAAACACATCGATTTCTTCTGGTTTAAAGATAAAAATTCTAATCCTTAAGTATGATGTACACTTTCAACTGGTTATAACAACACTGGTTTTTCTTTTTCTCTTCTTTCTTTCTTTCTTTTTTCTTTCTTTCTTTCTTCTTTCTTTCTTTCTTTCTTTCTTTCTTTCTTTCTTTCTTCTTCTTTCTTTCTTTCTTTTCTCTTCTTTTCACAAGGTTCAGAATTTAGAGACAGACTAGGGCCCAGTTGTAGTTTAACCAATGTCCACGTGATAGCAAAGGGGGAGATGCCTCCAAAAGGCATCCAAACCTAGGTGCTTCTGAGAGTTTTCCTCCTCATTCACATCAGTGTTGATTCCTGAAGGAGAAAGCCTTTGGAACCATAACAGGGGCCAGCAGTGGGTGGGTGGGTGCAGGGAGGCATTTATTTCCTGGGCAGGCATGCATCAAGAAGAGTTGATTTCAGGAAGAGAAGTAGCTTTCTGGGAAATGAGGATTGTCTCAGAGATAGGAATAATCCCCTTAGGTTTCCAGTAGAAAGAGGAATAGACCCAACTTCTCCAAAAGTCTGTATGTGTGTGCACGTAACTGAATATGGGACATAAATCCATTTTCCTGCGTCTAGGAAAAGCCAGGGAGACACTTAGAAAACACTGGCTCCCAGGGTCAGCCCAAAGTGGACCAATGGTCAGGGTTTCTCATGTTGCCAGATCTTTATTTAGTACATTTGGGTGATGGTAGCAGCTGTCAGACAAAGCCAGAGCTATAGAAAAAGGAGCTGTTTCACTACAGCTGTATTTAATATACAGTATTAGTTTCAACAGAACCTGGTGCTCAGTTGACCAGGAGGCCTTTCAGTGGCAGGAGGATAGAGACCTGGACAGAGCTGGGGTATAACCAAGCGCCAGGTGTAACCAGGCTGTGTGCGTTAACGTATCCATTCCTGTGTGCAGCTGTGTGTGCCCCAAACCTTCGTTAGGTGTCTGCAAGATACTGGGGAGGCTGCTGGAGTCCAGGCTGCAAGATGTATAGAGGCTCAGGGCACCTGGTGGCTCAGTCTGTTGAGTGTCTGACTCTTGGTTTCAGCTCAGGTCATGATCTCAGGGTGTTGATATTGAGCCTCATGTTGGGCTCCAAGCTCAGCCCAGAGTCTGCTTCTCTCCCTCACGTTCTGCCCCTCCCCCTGCTCTGTGCACTTGCCCCCCCCAAATAATCTTTAAACAAAACAAAATAAAAAGATGTCTAGAGGTTCACTGCTGGTGGATGCCGTGATGTACTAGAAAGAGTGAAAGTCTTGAAGTCCAAACAGTCTTAGGATTAACTACCTTCTTCCTTACTAAGTGCATCTTTAAAAGCAATTTACTTACCTGTACTTATTTATAAAAGTCTTTCCTTGAAAGAAATAAATGAGATAATATGTGTGAAGTGCCCTGTACTTAGTAGGTGCTCAGTAAGTGGCAGCTGCTAGTCGTCTGATGAAGTCCTGAGATTTCCCTGTTTCTTAACGGATCTAGAGTCTGCTGTGTTTGAAGAAGCGGAGACAGAATGTGTTGAGTATTGATTGCCTGTAAAACATCAAATGTGGACGCTAAGGATAAAGAGATGAAGGCATGGGGCTTCCCCTTGAGCATCTTACTGTCTCGTAGTGAGACGACATCCCTAAAAGTAAGCAAGTACAATATAATGTGATAATGGACATGGAATTTCGTATAAAGTAATGAAACTCAAGAATTTGGTCACCAGTGTGCCTAACCTCGTGCCATGAGTCTTGCATACGCTTTGAAATGTCATCCTCTCGACAATCCTGCCAAATAGGTGCTATTATTATCTTTTATGTTAGAGTGTAGGAGACGGAGGCGCAGTGGAGCTACCATATTGGTCCAGAAGTAGCACAGCTACTGTGCTTGGGGCGAGGGCAGGAGAGAAGAAGGGGGGCCGAGGTATCCAGAATGAATCCATGCAAGGAG